CTATAATGATTTTGACAGCAATCCACCCTATATGTTAAAGGGAAGAATTCTGAGCTCTATTTAGATGTTTTGCTGAACATGTCAGCAATTATACCTCTGGTTTAAAAAATATAGTTCCCCTTTGGACTTTCAGAATGTTTGCATATCTTTGTTGCTGAATGTTATCAGAGGTTATGTAGGTCCCAATGGTATATAAAAGAAGTCTACTGAGCCACTAAGATCAAAGTTGGGTGTTTGTTTCATTAATTTCCTAATATCATTCAGCATGTAAGGTATCAGTGTGAAAAATAAACTAGTTCCTTAGATTCATCATCTGGGTGAACCATCTTTAAATGCAAAAATTGCAATCAAATGCTTCCTGCTACCAGTTTCTTGCACGACTATGTAGAAATATTGATGCATTTCTGCAAGGCAAACTAATTTTGTAAGTAACGTGAGGGTTTTCTAGATGAATTGTTGGTTCAGGTCCTATCACATATGTTGGATTTAAGTTTGAAATCTGGAAAACCTCTTTTAAGTGGTACTTAAAAGTTTGCAAACTTTTCAATTTTCAATATTTCTGCATAAAAATGACCAAAAACTAAAGAGAACCCAATTAAACAAATGAGTCAAAAACATTATACTTGTTCATTTATTGAGGAAAATGATCCAAAACTAGCCCATATGTATGCAGAAATATTGAATGTTCAAAGTTTTAGCCACCATTCCAAATGGTGAATCTATTCTTCTTCACCCCTAAAGGCATTAATGACTTTATAGAAGTCATCAGAAATTTCTGGGTGGGGTATGACACGCACTCGGAATCTCTATGATGAAAATTTCATTGAAATGTTAATCTTTTTTTGTAGGGCAACCCCAAATTAGCCCTGGTTGTTAATGATGTACTTATACAACTGGTCCTAGATAGCCCTTTAACTCAACAGACTGAACTGGGGAAGTGTGATTGTTGGCTCACCAGACATAAGATGGCCTTTGCTTATGATATAAATTGATCAAACAATCAATGAAAAATCAGGACTCATATGAAAATCTAATAATTTTGTCTAATAACAAAGACATGCAACAATTCAGAAAATCAAAACGGGAAAAATACTTTTCAGAAAATTGTAAAACTGAGTAGAGCAGTGCTTCTCAAACTTTCTTTCATTACTCAAAAACACTTATCATAAAGTCGTAAGAAACTTCCTTCAGCATCGTTGTAAGATCTTGGGCGGCCCGGTGGTGGAGGCCTGGTCCGGACTATATTATTCGGCTCCCCGGCCGGGCGCGGGCCTGTTCCGGTGGGCCGGACGGCCTGGCGTTCGGCTTACCTTCGGCCCGTTTTCGTGGCTTAGAAGGGCGGCCTGGAAGTACTCTGGCGGCCTGGCGGTGGAGACCAGACTTCGCCCCCATTACTCGG